ATAAGCATATGGAGCAGAGGTCCATCAGTGGCTATTAGCCACAACATATAGACAGGAACTCTCAGTCCGGGGCAAGTGATGCTCTGTATTCTTGGTGCTTGGGGGGGGGCAACAGTGGGAGGGCTTCTAGTGTCCTGGCCCCACTAGTAGACCTCCTGATGGCACCTGGTGTTTTTGGCCACTGTGTGACACGGAGTGTTGGACTGGATGGGCCATTGGCCTGATCCAACATCGGCTTCTCTTACGTTCTTATGTTCTTAAATTAAACATTGGGTTGCTCTCAAACAGACCATTGAACTGTAGCAAGAGGCTGACACCTTCATTACTTATAGGAAGATTGGGACAAAATGAGTCTACATCTGGATGCTCATTGAGAATGATGGACCTGTAATATTGCCAAGTTTTACAATATAATATGATTCTAGATGGGCCACTGGCCTGATCCAACATCGGCTTCTCTTATGTTCTTAAAAGGAATTGAAGGGGGGGGGAGCAGGAGAAGTCCTCCTTCCTGCTGTAAGTTCTGGGGCTAAATCAAACAGGGGAGAAAGAAAAAAGTTGTTGGCGGGACCAGGGGTCATTTTGTAGAAAAAGATGTGCAGGAGCTCATTAGCATAGCTTATTTACATATGCCACACCCCCTGACATCACTGGAAGTGTGTCAGAAGGCAACGGCCACTGCTCCACTGGACTGTTTTTGGATTGCTAGCTGGGGGGGGGGGGGGAAGGTGAAGATCTGCCCTCATGGAGGAGGGAGAGCTTGTATCTGAATAGAACTTGGTCTTTAAGGTGCTACTTGACTGTTTTGGACCGGGGGTCCAGGGAGAGCTCTGCAACTTACCTGGCTGCTTCTTGCTCTGACTGAGGGCTGCTGGGAGCAGGGGGTGGGGCTTGTTGCATATGCCCGCCCCCTGGGCTTTTTACTGCCGGAGCTCCGCTCCTGTGCGCTCCTGCAGGAAATGACCCCTGGGTGGGACAGAGATGCTCTGAAACTTCATCTGCAAGGTGCACTTTCCCAATACGGCCGATAACTGCACGCACGCACATGCACGCACTCACCAGGTACCGCTCAGAAGAGACGCTGACGAGAATGAGGTCGTCACCGACGCGCACCTTCTCCCCTTCCGAGCGCTGCTTGGAGGCGGGGTGGATGGTCCACCAGCAGGCTTCTCCTGGCAATGGCAGAGAAGGGATGGCCGGTTGTGAGTGAGCGGAGGGAAGCACGCAAGCCGGGAAACAGCCCCTGGGGACGGGCATGCTTTCCCACTCAACCAAGAAGGCCTGGCCGGGGTCGTGTGCGTGCCACGATTCTACAGAAATGCAGCTCACAGGGCCAGGTAAAGAGAATACTGGTTTCCATTGTTTGTAATTGTCATGGGACAATAAACTAATAGGAAGGTAAGAACTCAGGATCTTTGGGCTTCTCCACATTCTCATTCTACTTGCCTGTAAGTTTCTGTTTCTTCAGGGTGGGAGGGTCTGTTCCGCATCTCTCTTGCCCCCTCTAGTGGTCGATTCGATATTGCACCGGTTTATGTCCGGCATAACTCCCTGCGGTGTTAAACTGCAGGGTTTTGTGCCAGGCATAAAACACTGTGATGTTGAATCGACCACTAGAGGGAGCAAAAACATGCAGAACAGAAAAAACACAAGAAGCAGGAACTTACCAGCCAGGAAAATGAGAACTGGGTAAAGGAGAGGAGGAGGAGGAGGAGGAGATTGGATTTATACCCCGCCCTTCACTTGGAGTCTCAGAGCGGCTTACAAACTCCTTTCCCCTCCCCTCCCCACAACAGACACCCTGTGAGGTAGGTGGGGCTGAGAGAGCTCTGACAGAACTGTCCTTAAGGAAACAGCTCTGCCAGAACTATGGCTTGCCCAAGGTCATCCAGCAGGTGCATGTGGAGGAGTGGGGAAGCAAACCCGGTCCTCCCAGATTAGAGTCCGCACACTTAACCAATACACCAAAGCCCTTTGTCTTGTTTCCATTGTTTGTAATTGTCATGGGACAATAAACTAACAGGAAGGTAAGAACTCACACTGTAAAGATGTTTGGGCTTTTCCACATTCTCATTCTAGCTTGCTTGTAAGTTCCTGTTTCTTCAGGGTGGGAGGGTCTGTTCCGCATGTATCTTGCCCCCTCTAGTGGTCGATTCAATATCACAATGTTTTACGTCTGGCATAAAACCCTGCAGTTTAAAACCACAGGGTTTTATGCCAGACGTAAAACCCTGTGATATTGAATCGACCACTAAAGTGAGCAAAAAACAGGCAGAACAGAAAAAAACACAAATGCCCTAAAGAAACAGGAACTGACCAGCCAGGAAAATGAGAGTTGGGGAAAGCTCTTTGTCTGGTTTGAAAGAAACAATCATTTTTTTAATGAAGAAGAAGAAGATGAAAAGATTGGATTTATACCATGCCCACTACTACCCAAGGGTGCCTCAGAGCAGCTTACAAACTCAATTTCCCTTCCCCTCCTCACAACAGATACCCTGTGAGGTAGGTGGGGCTGAGAGAGCTCTGACAGAAATTGCTCTTTTGCAAGAACAGCTATGCCAGAACTATGGCTCGCCCAAGGTCATCCAGCAGCTGCAAGTGGAGGAGTGGGGAATCAAACCCGGTTCTCCCAGATTAGAGTCCGCGCACTTAACCACTACACCAAACTGGCAGAGCTCACAAACTAAAGATCTTAATAGCAGCACACAACGGATTTGCTATGGCTTCTTTAAAGACTAGACAGCTCTGGGCACAGCCATCCTAGGACCTTTTTAAATGCTGAGCCTGGAATTCAGGTTAAGGTAGGAAGAAGAAGAAGAGATGTTTTTTATACCCTGCTTTTCACTACCCGAAGGAGTCTCAGAGCAGCTTACAATCGCCTTCTCTTTCTCTCCCCACAACAGACACACTGTGAGGTAGGTGGGGCTGAGAGAGCTCTTTCGAGAACTGCTCTTGAGCGAACGGCTCTGAGAGAACTTGTGACTGACCCAAGGTCTCCCATCTGGCTGCATGTGGGAGGGGGAGGGGGGAATCAAACCCGGTTCTCCAGATTAGAGTCCGCCACTCTTAGCCACTTAACCACACTGGCTCGCGAAGAGTTCCTTCCGTGCATGAACACCACCGCCACAGCTTTTCCCACGTACCTGTTGCATCTTCCTGGAGACCCACGTCAAAGGCAAGTTTATCGGTCAAGGAACGGGAGGTGGTTAGGCAGCTCAGGTACTAGAAGATGAGGAAGGAAAGAAGACCAAGAAACCTGCGTTGAAATACTTAACCTCAAAGGGGAAGGGGGAAAAAACCTTTAAAGCCTGCTCTGAAAACCTGCAGGTTAAACAAACACACTTACTCATAATTACCTAAATATTGGCCCCCGGTCACACGGAGCATTAGGCACGCTAGAGAGACGGAAGATAGGCGGATTTTCCGGGCGGATCTCACCGCCACATCTGGGAAGCGTAGAGCTCCCGTGGCTCACCCGAGGCTTCACTCCGAAGATGCGCTGTAAAAAACTAGTACCTCTGAGGTACTAGTTTCCGGAAACCGCGGGGCAAGAGCAGACGTCAGATCACGTTTCCGGTGTTAGCTCGTGGCATCCGGCGCCCGCCCATGTCCCGTCGCGAAAAGTTTTTTTTTTGTTAAAAAAAACAACACAACCCCCCCGGCGCTGCTTCTTTGCCGCGCGGCAGGCGTGAGGTATGATCGGCACCTCCCCCCAATCACGGGACATCGGCGGGACGTCGGGCGGGATGTTTGATCCGGCTGTCGCGCGGTAGTTCACTCCGGGGCAAACAGCCACGCCTCCCCACCCGCGCGATATCCGGCCCGTGTGACCGGGGCCCTAGATAGTCTGAATAGCCTGGAAAAATAGCCATGGTATCCCAGAAAGAAATGGAAGGGATTGTCGCTTGACGGCAGAGCACCTGCCTTGGATGCAGAAAGTCCCAAATTGAATCCTGGGCCTCTCCAGTTAAAAGGATCTCACATGAACACAAGAAAGTGCCTTACACCAAATCAAACCATCGGTCCATCGAGGTCGGTATTGTCCACTCAGACTGGCAGCGGCTTTCCCTGGTCTTCCCTAGAGATCTTTCCCATCACCCCTGCTCCCTCTAACCTGCGGAGTCCTGTGAGCAAAAATCCTACTTTGTGAGCGACTGGCGTTAAAGTTGTGAGCCGGCGATTTGGCTGCTCAATCAATTCGTTTGCTCTGGAGCCCTCCTTCCTGAGCTCAGACAAAAACGTGTGAGCCGGAGGCTAAAAAACTGTGAGCTAGCTCACGCTAACTCGGCTTAGAGGGAACCGTGCAAAATGCTCCCTCTAAGCTGCGGAGTCCTGTGAGCAAAAATTCTACTTGGTGAGCGACTGCCATTAAAGTTGTGAGCGAGCGATTTGGCGACTATGTTGTGGAGGGCTTTCACGGCCGGAATTCATTAGCTGTTGTAGATTTCCCGGGTTGTCTGGCCGTGGTCTTGGCATTGTAGGACCTGACGTTTTGCCAGTAGCTGTGATTGGCATCCTCAGAGGTAAATCCTCACAGGTATATCCTCAGAGAACTGTGTTCTAGCATGGAGAAGCAATGGCTATGTTTGACTAGTGCCCGATGAGAGTTTTGATGACTATTTGAAATTGTATAAGACGCTCGATTTGTAAAGGTAAAGGTATTGTTGTAAAGGTAAAGGTAAAGGTTCCCTTGCTTGAAAGCCAGTCGAGTCCGACTCTAGGGTTGCGGTGCTCATCTCCGTTTCAAAGCCGAAGAGCCAGCGCTGTCCGAAGATGTTTCCGTGGTCACGTGGCCAGCATGACTAAACACCAAGGCGCATGGAACGCTGTTACCTTCCCACTGAAGTGGTACCTATTTATCTACTTGCAATTTCTTGCTTTCGAACTGCTAGGTTGGCAGGAGCTGGAACTAGAGACGGGAGCTCACTCCGTCATGCGGCAACTCGGGTCTCGAACTGCTGAACTACCGACCTTCCACAGCCTGCAGTTCAGCGTCTTAACCACTTGAGCCACCGCAGCTCTGATATATTGTTGTACTTCCTTGTTATATTTGTATTTTCATCTATTTCACGTACACGTTTGCATATTCTATGAGATATAGCGTTTCCCTGGCTTTTAAAAAAAATATGCTGTTATACCTCTGAGGATGCCAGTCACAGCTACTGGCGAAGCGTCAGATCCTACAATGCCAAGACCATGGCCAGACAGCCCGGAAAATCTACAACAGCTAATGATTTGGCTACTGCATAAATTATTTCTTCATTTTATTTATTTATGTGTTAGGCTGGCTCAGGGCAGCTTACAGAAAACAGCACATAAATGACAGTAAAAACAATTAAAACACTTAAAACAGCACTACAACCAGTGGTTAAGAAGCTGAACTGCAGGCTGTGGAAGGTCGGTCGTTCAGCAGTTCGAGACCCGAGTGTGCCGCATGACGGATTGAACTCCCGTTTCTAGTTCCAGCTCCTGCCAACCTAGCAGTTCGAAAGCAAGAAATTGCAAGTAGATAAATAGGTACCACTTTGGTGGGAAGGGAACAGCGTTCCGTGGGCCTTGGTGTTTAGTCATGCCAGCCACAGGACCATGGGGAAGTCTTCGGACAGCGCTGGCTCTTCAGCTTGGAAACGGAGATGAGCACCGCAACCCTAGAGTCGGATTCGACTGGCTTTCAAGCAAGGGAACCTTTACCTTTACCTTACAACCAATTGGTGACATAATAAGTGCCAGTATCGTTGTCCCTGATTGTCTCGAGCCTACAAATGAAAACCTACGGGGGCCGTTAGTGAGAGAGATAGAGGAGTCCAGCAGTGGGCAGTAGAGTGCAAACACGCCCTTATACTAAAAGAGCAGCCAATGCACACGCTCACCCGCCGAGCCTTCGTAGGAATTTTGGCACCAGAGGGAAGCACAGCCGGCATCGCCCCACCCCAAGTGACCTCAGCTCCTTGACTTAGAACTTAAATTTGGACTCCGGAACGCCTCTCGGGCCTTTCGGCGTTTGACACCTCCTTGGCGGGGAGAGCGGCCCACCTCCTAAAACCCCCTTTCTGGATTCCTTGCAGTTTCCGCATCCTTGGAGGAGAGCGCATGACGCGTGCTTGAAAATAAATCTGCTTGGCTGAAGGATGGAGACGTTCTTTTTTTAAAAAAGAGACTCGGTTGGAGTTTCCTGCTCTGCTCTCCTGAGAAGTCAACCGGCCGTGCCCGGCAGCCCAAGTTTCCAGACCATCTCGACCAATGCTCCCTCTAAGCTGTGGAGTCTTGCGAGCAGAAATGTTACTTTGTGAGCGACTGGCATTATATTTTATTTATTTATTTGTAGTTTTGATTTCTATACCGTCCTTGACCCCGAAGGGTCTCAGAGCAGTTTACAGAGGGTATCTATATATCTAATAGCCAAGTTGCCCCCTCTGTGCGGATATCTAAACCCACACATCAGGGGCAGAGAGATTTTCCTTCACACTTGGGGCAGTCCCCAGGTGTGCAGAAAAATCTGAAAAGTTTAAAAGACTATAGGGGGATACTTAAATCCCCACAAAAGTAAAAAAGCATTCCCTGCAAATGCGCAGAGAACGCACTTACCTCTGGGATCTGTGGCAGAGCCACGCAGGGCTCACCGCAGTTGGTGCTGGCGGTGGCAGCGGGGGTGGAGAAGGCTTGGCAGTGGGGGTGACGGCTAGGAGCCACAGCCACCACTGTCGGAGACCGGGGGGTGTGGGGGAGAAGCCTGGCAGGCCCCGCAACCAGGAGCTGAGCCCGTTGTTGCCGCAGTGGGGGGGGGAGAGAAGCCTGGTGGGCCTGACAGCTCACAGCCGCACAGGGCTTGCCACTGTTGTTGTTGTGGGTGGCAGTGGCGGAGAGAAGCCTTGGCAGCCCAGGAGCCGTGGGGAATACACCAACCCCACGAGTATCACGGGTCCTGCTTCTTGTTTATATATAAAAGCAGTTCACCATCAGATTGCCAGCTCCGGGTTGGAAAATTCCTGGAGTTTTTTGGAGGGTGGGTGTGTGGAATCTGGGGAGGGACTTCAGCACAGTATAGCACCATAGAGTGCCTCTTCCAAAGCAGCCCTTTTCTCCAGGGGAACTGATCTCTGTTGTCTGGAGACCAGTTGAAATCCCAGATCTCCAGCCACCACCTGGAGGTTAGCATCACACATACAGAAGGGATTAAACCACACATCTGCATTCAATAACTTGTCTGTATATTCAAAAACCCACAATGAAATCCTTTGCATATTACTGGGGAGTACGCCCCATTCAGTGGAATGGGGCTTACTCCCAAGTAAGTGTGCATTAGGAACACAAGCATGAAGAGAAACCGTAAGAATAAGTCAATACTTACCTGGGCAGTTCTTTTAGCTGTATGGCTTACACACACGTTGTTGGAAACACCCCCACTGCAGTCTTCTTAAATACAGCTGGGGAAGTCACAGGCTAGATCTTCCCCCGAACTCCCAATACATTAGTTCCACCTGATCAGAGTTCCTTCCCCCATTACATCCTCAAATAGTCAGGTGTGGTGTGGCTCATTGGGCCTCAATTGGTTGACTCAGCCCAGGCTAGCTGTGATAATTTCATGCCAAGTAAAAATGTCCATAGTCATATTTTATGTTCCTAAAATAACAGAATGACTTTCAATCTGGAAAAGAAAAAAGAAGTGCTAATGTAGCACTGTTTTCAATGTTCCTGAAAATTTCCATTTCCCCCCTGAAAAAAACTGGATTTTTTCCCGAGCTTCAAAATTTCCGGAAGCTTCACATCTCTAATCCCGAGATGCCCTTTCCCTCTGCGGCGTACCCAAGGACCCCGCCCCCCTTCACTTCCTTCTCACCATGCCGCTGTGGGAATGCCGGAGGAGAATAGCGTGTCCGTACAGCAGAGTCCGGTGTCCGCCACCTTGTGAAGACTGAAAACGATAAAGAGGAATACAAGTCAGGCTGCAAATTCAACAATCTCTCCAGCAGAGTGTCCAGTTATATACCGCCCCAACCCATTCCCCCTCGTGAACCACCCGACAACAATACAAGCTGCCGATTCCTTCATTTTAAGGGGTGTGTGTGTCAAAGAATGTACTTTTTTGTATCTCACTGGGTTCCGTCCTTCACGGCTGGTGACGCATAAGCTCCCGGAGAAATAAAGGCCAGTCGACCACCTACCGGACTCAAAATCAGACGAGGAGGACATAGAGAAAACAAAGATAACCGAGGGTTGAGCCACGCAAAACTGCTCCGCTGCCCCGAGTTTAAAGTGGACGTTAAGAAGCAGCCCAGGAACGTTCCAGAAGGCGCCTGGGGAACAGGCAGAGACAGGCAAATACTTCACCACGCAACTGCACCTGGCGTGTCGGAATGTTCTCCTCAGAGCTTGGCGGGACAACGCATCAACAGGGCTTCCCAAGTGGGTACACACACACGGCGTGAGAAGTCATCCCCTTGGAAAACCGTTGTCCGACTCCACCCAATGAGCCAGAGGTATTCGACCTGCAGCAGGCTCTTCCGAAAGGCGGTACGTCTTCCAGGCGCTTTCTTCCAAGGGACCCAAGCAGGAACAGGGAAGAATAATAGTGGCCCCAAGCAATGCTCTCTCTAAGCTGTGGAGTCCTGTGAGCAAAAATTCTATTTCGTGAGCTACCGGCAATAAAATTGCGAGCGAGCGATGGGCCGCTGCATAAATCCGTTTGCTCCGGGGCCCTCCTTCCTGAGCTCAGACAAAAACGTGTGAGCCGGGGGCTAAGAAACTGTGAGCTAGCGCACACTAACTCAGCTTAGAGGGAACACTGGCCCCAAGTAGGGCAGATGATTAGCGGCTTCAGAAGGGGCTGTCCAAAGAATACAGCTCTTCAAAGACGAGCTGGGCCGAAGACGTTTGACGTGAAAGGGGGTCGCAGGCTCCAGTGCACGTCTGCGGTCATACCCAGACCGGTCAGAAGGCTTCTCTCTCGCCATACCCGGAGATGATCAGCCAAACCAAAAACGAAGACCGCCGATTCTGACTCCATTACATGGCGTACTGCCACCATCTTATCTGGGTCGGAACATGCAGCATTTAAAAACAAGGCGGATGCCACCAGAACACATATGTGGGGGGATTTACTAGGGTTACCAACCTCCAGGTGGCACCTGGAGATCTCCCCTTATTAATACTGATCTCCAGACGACAAAGATAGGAACCCCCCTGGAGGAAATGGCTGCTTTGGAGGATGCCAGCCGAGGTCCCTCCCCAAACCCAGCCCTCCCCACGCTCCACCCGCCCCC